CTATTCAACATAGTATTAGAAGTCCTAGCCACAGCAATCAGACAACAAAAAGAAATCAAAGGCATCCAAATCGGCAAGGAGGAAGTCAAACTCTCACTCTCTGCAGATGATATGATACTTTATGTGGAAAACCGAAAAGACTCCACCCCAAAACTGCTAGAACTCATACAGGAATTCAGTAAAGTAGCAGGATATAAAATCAATGCACAGAAATCAGTGGCATTTCTATACACCAACAACAAGACAGAAGAGAGAGAAATGAAGGAGTCGATCCCATTTACAATTGCACCCAAAACCATAAGATACCTTGGAATAAATCTAACCAAAGAAGCAAAGGATCTGTACTCAGAAAACTATAAAATACTCATGAAAGAAATTGAGGAAGACACAAAGAAATGGAAAAACGTTCCATGCTCATGGATTGGAAGAACAAACATTGTGAAGATGTCAATGCTACCTAGAACAATCTACACATTCAATGCAATCCCCATCAAAATACCATCCACTTTTTTCAAAGAATTGGAACTAATAATCCTAAAATTTGTATGGAACCAGAAGAGACCCCGAATAGCCAGAGGAATGTTGAAAAAGAAGAGCAAAGCTGGCGGCATCACAATTCCGGACTTCCAGCTCTATTACAAAGCTGTCATCATCAAGACAGTATGGTACTGGCACAAAAACAGACACATAGATCAATGGAACAGAATAGAGAGCCCAGAAATGGACCCTCAACTCTATGGTCAAGTAATCTTCGACAAAGCAGGAAAGAATGTCCAATGGAAAAAGACATTCTCTTCAACAAATGGTGTTGGGAAAATTGGACAGCCACATGCAGAAGAATGAAACTGGACCATTTCCTTACACGACACACAAAAATAGACTCCAAATGGTTGAAAGACCTAAGTGTGAGACAGGAGTCCATCAACATCCTAAAGGAGAAGAGAGACAGCAACCTCTCCGACCTCAGCCGCAGCAACTTCTTCCTAGAAACATCGCCAAAGGCAAGGGAAGCAAGGGCAAAAATGAACTATTGGGATTTCATCAAGATAAAAAGCTTTTGCACAGCAAAAGTAACAGTCCACAAAACCAAAAGACAACCGACAGAATGGGAGAAAATATTTGCAAATGACGTATCAGATAAAGGGCTAGTATCCAAAATCTATAAAGAACTCATCAAACTCAACACCCAAAGAACAAATATTCCAATCAAGAAATAGGCAGAAGACATGAACAGACATTTTTCCAAAGAAGACATCCAAATGGCCAACAGACACATGAAAAAGTGCTCAACATCGCTTGACATCAGGGAAATCCAAATCAAAACCTCAATGAGATACCACCTCACACCAGTCAGAATGGCTAAAATTAACAAGTCAGGAAACGACAGATGTTGGTGGGGATGCGGAGAAAGGGGAACCTTCCTACACTGTTGGTGGGAATGCAAGCTGGAGCAACCACTCTGGAGAACAGTATGGAGGTTCCTCATAAAGTTGAAAACAGAGCTACCCTACGATCCAGCAATTGCACTACTGGGTATTTACCACAAAGATACAAATGTAGGGATCCGAAGGGATACGTGAACCCCAATGTTTATAATAGCAATGTCCACAATAGCCAAACTGTGGAAAGAGCGAAGATGTCCATCGACAGATGAATGGATAAAGAAGATGTGGTATATATACACAATGGAATATTATGCAGCCATCAAAAGGAATGAGATCTTGCCATTTGCAACGACGTGGATGGAACTGGAGGGTATTATGCTGAGTGAAATAAGTCAATCAGAGAAAGACATGTATCATATGACCTCACTGATATGAGGAATTCTTAATCTCAGGAAACAAAACTGAGGGTTGCTGGAGTGGTGGGGGGGGAGGGATAGGGTGGCTGGGTGATAGACATTGGGGAGGGTATGTGCTATGGTGAGCGCTGTGAATTGTGCAAGACTGTTGAATCACAGATCTGTACTTCTGAAACAAATAATGCAATATATGTTAAGAAAATAAAAGATAGCAGGAGGGGAAGAATGAAGGGGAGTAAATCGGAGGGGGAGATGAACCATGAGAGACGATGGACTCTGAAAAACAAACTGAGGGTTCTAGAGGGGAGGGGGGTGGGGGGATGGGTTAGCCTGGTGATGGGTATTAAAGAGGGCACGTTCTGTGTGGAGCACTGGGTGTTATGCACAAACAATGAATCATGGAACACTACATCAAAAACTAATGATGTAATGTATGGTGATTAACATAACAATAAAAAATTTAAAGAAAAAAAGAAAAAGATAGGCTAAATTTGCATCCTTTATATCAAGGAACAAATAGAAATTTTCCATTGTTAAATCAAAAATAGGAAGAATTGCCTATTTTCTAGGGCTGTTACAGCAACAGTAAAGACTGTAGTTTTTCACTTTTACCTATTAAATCGTTAACCATGAATAATGTTTTAAATTTAAAATACCAAAAAAAATGAAAGAGAAAAATCTGGGGAAATATTTATAATATAGAGCAACCAGAGTGTTAATATTTTTAAATCCCAGACACCCCATTCTACCCAAAAATATTTCTTGCACATTTTTAGGAAAAAATAAACATCTATGGAAAGGAATGCAGAAGAACATAAGGAGGCAATTTACAAAAGATGACATCCAAATGGTTAATAAAAATGATTAATTTTATTAGTATTTTTAAAATACTAATAAAAATAAGATTTCTTTACCTATAAAATTGACAAAATATGAAATAATACGCAGTTTCAATGAGGTTTTTATTTATTAGTAAGAGAGTAAACTTATACAGTATAACCTTTGTAAAAGGCATACCCTTTGACCCAATAATTAAAATTCTAGAAATCTGGAGTGCCTGACTGGCTCAGTCGGTAGAGTGTGTGACTCTTGATCCCAGGGTTGTGAGTTTGAGCCCCATGCTGGGTGTGGAGACTACTTTTTTTTTTTTTTAAGATTTTCTTTATTTTAGAGATAGCAAGCACGGGGCGGGGGGGTTGCTGGGAGGGCAGTGGAGGAGGAGCAGAGGGAGAGGGACAGACTCCACACTGAGCCAGCATAGAGCCACACACAGGGCTCAATCCCACAACCCTGCGACCACAACCTGAGCTGAAATCAAGAGCTGGATGGAGGCTCAACCAACTGAGCCACCCTGAGCCGACTTTAAAAAAAATAAAAAGAGGGATGCCTGGGTGGCTCAGTCAGTTGAGCGTCTGCCTTTGGCTCAGGTCATGGTCCCAGGACCCTGGGATCGAGCCCCACATAGGGCTCCTTGCTCAGCGGGGAGTCTGCTTCTCCCTCCGCTTTCCGTTCCCCCGTTTATGCTCTCTCTCTCTCTGACAAATAAATAAATAAACAAAATCTTGAAAAGAAAGAAGAAGAAAATTCTAAAAATCTATCCTGAGAAAATCATAAGGCTATGGATGACTGGCAATCTAAGTTACTCCTCTCATGTACATTACTTTAAAGATAAAGAAACCAGGAAGAAAAGGTGAAAACACAGTATTTAAGAATGTGTGGACAAAATTAACTACATCTCTTACCACAGAACTATTTACAATAGCAGAGAGGTGGGAAACAACCAAAGAGAGGTTTGAGTTAATAACTTTACTTCTAAATAATTTAGAAAGTATAATGATATAGAAGATAGTTTTTTTTAAAGATTTTATTTATTTATTTGAGAGAGAGAATGAGAGAGAGAGAGCATGAGAGGGGGGAGGGTCAGAGGGAGAAGCAGACTCCCCGCTGAGCAGGGAGCCTGACGTGGGACTCGATCCCGGGACTCCAGGATCATGATCTGAGCTGAAAGACAGTCGCTTAACCACCTGAGCCACCCAGGCGCCCTAGAAGACAGTTTTAAGAGAAAAAGTCAGACTGCTGAACTACAGATGTAAAATGAGCCACACACCCGTTTCTATATTCTATGTGAAAAAATATATACACCGTTGTGGGAAAATGTTAGAGTAATATATACCAAAATTTAGCAAGTTATCCTTGGGTGGTAGGTCACTCTTATTTTATTTTTCTTTGTATTTTCTACAAAAATTTATTCTTTTTGAACTGAGAAAAGACCCTTTATTGATGGGCCAACGCTCCTCGCAGGATCACTTTCATATTGGGGTAGGAGGCCCATGAATAGCCCTAGTGACAAGAAACAGTATAGACCTTAGTTTTTCACTTTTACCTATTTAAATCTTTAACCATGAATAATATCTATCATGGTTAATTCATATTTAACCTTTTTATGAATATGAATAAATATTATTCATATTTAACCATGAATAATATCTAAATTTGGTATTTAAATTTAAAATACCAAAAAATATGAAAGACAAAAATCTGGGGAAATATTTATAACATATATAGCAACCAAAGTGTTGGAGAAACTCAAGAGCCCACTACAGTCCCCGGTACTGAAAACAGTTATAATTGACCCAGCTGTAAGAAAGATGGTAGCCTTCCCCCTCCACCCTCCCTGCCAGGTAGCCACAACAGCAGTTTCCAAAGACAGCAGCAGCAGAGGCTGGGTCACATCTTGGCTGCAAACAGAGTTTTCTGGATCTGGAACTACTTAGTGGGAGGAAGACCTTGGACTGGACACTGGGGACAATCTATCCTCCACCCCCCGCCCCCCAGCAACAGGCCTCCTGGGGCCAGTGCACACTGGCCAGATGGAAGAAGGGAAACTCCCCCTCATTCTTCCATACCCCCTTCTAGAATTTCCCATTTCTTAGAACATCAGAGGGGCAGAAAACTCTTGAAGAACCTAAAGATGAGTGTGAGAGCCTTCGGTCCACACATGGAAACAAGCAGGCTCTGAACCAGAAAGATGAGGTCTCAAACTTGGCTCTACTGCTTCCGGGTTCTGTGACTGCCAAGAGAGGTCATCTTTCTTCATCTGTCAATTTGGGATCATGATAGTACCTATCGCAGGGGGATGCAGGGAACTAAAAACAAGCTCCTACCTAAGTCCCTATCCAACACAAGGACAGCCTTTATGAGGAAATACCAGGCCGTGGCCAATCGAGGGCCAGATCAGACAGTTCAACAAATGCTGTAACTAGCCAGGAGAAGTCATCAATGTGAGCTGGAGGGAGCAGGCCAGGCTTCCTGAAAGAAGAGGATTTGAACTAGACTTTGACAGCGAGGTAAGGATTGAAGAGGCAGGAAACAAAGTAAAGAAGGGGTAGTCCAGGAAAAGGCAACCATGTGATCAAAGGCAGGAAGACTGACCCCAACCCCTTCTTAAGTGATTTTTCGGGCTCTAACCGCTGTAGATCTGCACTAGACTTAGGAACTCACGGGCTCAGGAAGAAGTAGGTTGCAGTGATTTCTGCCTTCCATGATGTCTGTTGCAGGGCCAGACCCACAATGATCTGTGCTTCTCTTTCAGAGATGCTCATCCACCCTAGCTGTCTGGGTAGCCTGGCAGGGGGGATGAATCAGGAAAAGCCCTTTTTAACGAAGGTTTGCTTCTCAAGTTTTTGGAAATATAGGAGTGCTTCCCTTTGGCAAAATGAAAACAGTTGACCTCATACAATATCAAGGTTGCTATGAAAAAGCAAATATCACCATCCAAAAGAAGAAAAAAAAATCAATACATATTATGAACTTGAAAATCAGACTTCCTAATAAACAATTCATAAAGACAGGATCTGCTGTTTTCTTTCAGAAAGATTTTCCTCTCTTCCTCACTTTAGAAGTGTAAGATCAGACATCCACTTTCAACAGGACTGTCACTTTTCTCCAAACTTCAAAACCCACTAAGAGACATAGAAGTCTGAAAGCTCTCTGCCTTCCTATTAAGGAAAGGCCGCAAAATGGCATCCTAATGAGAGCTGATAAAAAGATGTTTTTAGGGTTCTGGACAACCTGGCTAAAGTAATGCTAGACACTCCAAGCCAATTAACATGGAAGGTTGTAGGACACAATCAGCAATTACTAGAAAAAGGTGGTCTTTCTAAGATGTCCTATTTGATATCACTTGTTGGTCATATGCCCTGAATGGGAGTTGGCATTTTCATTAAGTTAATACAATGTTGAATTGAATCCTATAGACTGAAAATGACTTACTAGTTTGGCTCAATATAGAAATAGAATATAACCCAGTTCTCTTTGCTCAAAATAGATTGTATTCTAGTCATTCAAATAGCTGTAAATTCGTTCAAAGCACTTAAGTTTTCTTCTTTATTTTTATCTGGATTCCATAAGGCAGCAATTCGGAACAGTGCATTTGGAACAGTATGTATTTTGCAATTAATCATAGGTGGGTTTGTATTAATATTTGGCTCTTCCATTTCCTATGTGGGTAAATTTGGCCAAGTTTGTAATTATTTAATAATTTTACCACATACTGAAAAGAATATGAGGTAGTCTATCTAAAAACATATCCTAAAAATACAATTTTAAAAATATTAGGTAAAGAGGGGAAATGAAGGCAAGAAAATGAGGGGAAAAAAGATAAATACAAAATTCATTCTAGGGGCACCTGGCTGGTGGAGCATGCAAATCTTGATCTTGGGGTTATGAGCTTGAGCCCCATGCTGGGTGTAGAGATTACTTAAAAATAAAACCTTAATTTTTTTTCATTCTAAAAGGCATTACACCGTTGCTAAAAGTAAAAAACTTTGGCTCTGAACTTTAAAAACATTAACACAAAGTCAAAATAATAATTTACAAAGCCATTAGGCAACTACTTAATCTGAGCAAATTTGGGATGGATCACAGATCTTGAAGTTTTATTGTAAGAATCATATCCTCTATGAAAACACCTAACATACAGTATCTGTCTCATAAATGTTATTTCTTTGCTTTCACTTAAGATTTTCTGTGATACATCTATTTTAAGCTGAGGTTCAAAAATGGTATTTGAGAAATGCTCCTCTAATCTTTCTCTCATTCTGAACATTACTTCTGTTTCACTGAAATAAAAAGCAGCACTCAACACTCTACCATACAGAATTTTGGAATTATAGAATCTTGTACTAAAAAAAATGGAAATAACTGTATCCTACAAGATATATTTCGTGCGACATCTTTATGAGTACACATTTACCTCCCACTCCTTAGCATACTCTAAAGACCAGATAGGCATAAATTTCAAAAGAATACATAAAACTGCTATTAGCAAGCTATGGAGAATATATGCTATTCAAGTAACTAGAATAACAAGGTCTTGCACATGGAATTGTAAAATATGTAGGAGGTTGTCAGCTCTTTGATATTAGTGTGTTAATTAGGATTCCCCAGAATAAAATGGTATGTCAAGTGAGATATTCATTTTTCTCTTTTATTTTTTAAAGAAAAGAAACCTACAGATTTTAGAAAGCAGTATCCAAGAACAAAGTGGTCTTAGAACATGGCAGCATGTTTTAAAAATAGTTTTAAAACAGATTAATCTCATTGGCTTTCTTTCTGCCTTAAATAATCAAGGGAAAAATCTGGCTCTATGTAATGGAAAGACCTGACATTTTTGTTCTCTTGGCATAAAATTGTCATGTTGCAAAAGGTGAGTGACTTTCAATAGAATGCAATTAGATTAATTCCAAAGGGCTGCTACAGAATTTCGATATATAATTGGTTAGCCAAATGGCTTCTTCCATGTACAAAATAGAAGCTTAATAATTTCTTTAGCTTTATTAAAATCTCTCATTTTATCTAAATGGTTAGGGAATGAATTCTTCAGGTTATGAATGTTTGCACCACTGGGACTTTCTTATTCTATACATGGATTGCCATTTTTTTAAGAATTAGAAATCTATAAAATGCTGGGATGCCTGGGTGGCTCCGTCGGTTAAGCATTTGCCTTCGGCTCAGGTCATGATCCCAGGGTCCTGGGATCAAGTCCCACATCGGGCTCCCTGCTTAGCAGGGAGCCTGCTTCTCCCTCTGCCTGCCGCTCCCCCTGCTTGTGTTCTCTCTCTCTCTGACAAATGAATAAATAAAATCTTTTTTTAAAAAAAGAAATTAATAAAATGCTAAATTATTCCCAATAAATTTTAACTTTTGTTGATTTAGAAGGAACTCAGTGAATCTTGTAGTGCCTTAAGGTCACTTGTGATGATCATTATTACAGAACCATGATTCTCATCTAACCTAATCCTTCCAACAGGATTCTGATTTGTTCCTTCCTACCCTCAATCCTATTACCAACTCTGCCCTTGACCAAAATGAAAGACAATCAGACTTAAACCTTATAAACCTTTAAAAACTTTTTGATGTTAAAAAAGTTAACTTGGGTAGAAAGTAGATTAGGGGCTCAGTCGGTTAAGCGACTGACTCTTGGTTTCCGCTCAGGTCATGGTCTCATGGATGGGGAGATCCAGCCCTGCATCTGGGAGCCACAGTCAGCAGGGACTCTGCATGAAGATTCTCTCCCTCTGCCCCTTCCTCCACTTACGCGTGCTTGCTCGCACTCTCTCTCTCTCTCAAATAAATAAATCTTAAAAAAGAAAGAAAGTAGATGAGGCAAGTTTTAATCTCCTTTGCTGTGTAAGGATAGTTCATACACGGTGGGTGATCACATATAGGACTCTCACGGGCAAGCCTGAGCCCTATTAGGAGGGGATGAAAGCTATCCAGGCATCTGGACTGTGCCACGTGGGGCACTAGGTAGTCTTCTATGATGATATCATCATTACCTTCTGATGATGGTGACAAAAAAACGACAATGACTGTGCCAGGAATATCACACCATCATCATCTATTTTAGCAAGTGGGCCTACATTACAGGCACTATTCTAAGAACTCTGCATATACCAATAGTCTGCTGAAAGAGACACCATAGGGTCCCTAATATTCAGTCACAGAGGCTCAATAACTTGCCTGAGGTTTTAAAGCTAGTGTGAGGCAGAGCTGGGATTTGAACTTAGGCAGTCAGGCTCCCTCTGGCCTCAGCCACCATGACATGCTGCCTCCATTGTACCACTTAGTACTTGTCCCCTAAGTGTTGAGTCTTTCTCCTTTGAAGTACTCTATTCTTTAAAACAGAACTGTGCTCTGTCTGTAGCACAGAGTACCTAGCACACAATGCTCAACAGAGATAAATATATATCATGCATGCAAAATCGGGATTACAAAATCCTTCTCACATGTATTTCTTTGCCTTTATTCTCCTCAAAGTGTGCTCCAGAAAACACGAATTCCTTTTTTGATTCTCTCTCTGCCTAGAGGGTTCTACCCTCCAAGATTTTTTGCAAGTCTAGTTCGGTTGCATCATGCCATTCACCATTCAGACTCTGGCTCAAAGAGGGCCTTTCAAGAGGACTTTTATGACCATCGATCAAAAACAGTTCTCACCTCTCACCCACAGCACTCACACGGCTTTAAGATGTCCAAAGTATTCATCAGTACCTGCAATCATCATTTCAATCTCTTCACCTGTCTCTCCCCTAGCCCTCCCCGAGGCAGCCTATGACAATGTCTGAACGCAACAAGTTCTCAAACACTATTTACTGAAATAACAGGGTTAAAGTTAAATAAATTTCTTCAAGACTTTTCAGACTTGTGACTCTTTAAAGGGGTGGGGGTATAGCATAACAGTTTTTGTTAAACTTAGCTGGCCATGGGAATTTTTTATTTTTAATGGAGCCCTTCACGGGGGACACTCTGGGAAGTGCCACAGAGATAGATCTACTCTATGAGAGATTCTGGACACTGCTTTAAGAAGTGGCCTTCTGGGCGCCTGGGTGGCTCAGTTGGTTAAGCGACTGCCTTCGGCTCAGATCATGATCCTGGAGTCCCTGGATCGAGTCCCGCATCAGGCTCCCTGCTCGGCAGGGAGTCTGCTTCTCCCTCTGACCCTCCCCCCCCATGTGCTATCTCTCTCTCTCAAATAAATTCTTTAAAAAAAAAAAAAAAGGAAGAAGAAGTGGCCTTCTCCCCAAGCCTTTTTTCACTCAAGGAACAGGTTCAGTAAAATCACTGAAGCAAGTCAGTAGCAATGTAAGGAAGAGAATTCGCGGTCACAAAGCTGAATACTCAGTTAACTTATTTATATATCTCCCACTTGATAAACCTCCACTTTCTCACATTTTTATTAGTCTGAAAACTCAAAACCAACCAAAGAAAGGAGGGCTTTTCCTTTAGATAATTTTTCTCCAGGGGGATAACAAATAATAGTAACTAAATGCAGGAAAGAATATTTTAC